CCTCGCGACTTGTATAGGCAGAAATTAAAGGGGTTCGATCGCGACGCCGACGCTGCGTATCGTGTCGTGCGTCACGCGCGCGTCGCACGTTTTCGAAAGTCCGAACGAACGAAAGCGGCTCTCCAACACTTTATCAGATCTGCTCTGCTCGAATAATTTCTCTCCCGTGTTACGATTCGGCCGCGGCGATTTTACTCCGCCGGTGAAATTGCTTTTCCTAAAGGGGAGAGATCATAACTCTATAAATCCTAATGTCGCGAGAGGTGGCAGATAATAAATAATCATCAAATACTCCGCACGATTTCGGACTTTGCACTATTATATCTCCGCTGATGGGGCACGCAAGGGCAAAGATAACGAGATTTTTCTTACATAATAGAGACCGGCCACTACGATCGAATTCATTCGGCCCAGACATTATTTGTGACACGACATATTACGGATATTCCTTCTGGATTTTATATTTTCGCGATAACGAGGTTAACGAGGGGGTTAATTTATTAGAAGTACGTAAAATATATATTTTAATCTCTACTGCCGCATTGATTTTGATTTGTCGTACTCTTCAATTTTCTACAACTACCTAACTATAGATTGAGCGTCCAAAAAGAAATGAAGCTTTTACACATATATTCGTTATCTCGTTGACTCTTGGTTTAAGCCTATTAAATATACTTGATTAAATAGATGAGATAGGTCAGTATAACGTAAAGACAAGTTCAGCATCATAGCGCCATAGATATAGGTCAGGACGATAGCGTTATAGAGGCAGGTCAGTACCACAGTATACAGGGTGTTCATAAAATCTATCTTCAAAAAACGTGAGGATTAATTTTTCATTACCGTTTTTTTCCTTTTTTTAAAGAAATATATTAGTGCCGCTGCAATATATTCTGTAAATTACAATTCTGTAAATAATTTAAAGAGTTTGCTATACATGCCATCGATCATGGATTGCAATCTAAAAGTTATTTGTCAACTTTAATTTTTCGATAGAATATAAATATTAACAAAAATTAATAAAAAAGTAAAAAACATATCTTTTTTTATTTCTTTATTGAATTCAATTTGTTTCGTCAGCCACCGGAATCCGTTCCGTTCCGTTCGCAGGTGCGGCGTTTCGCGAAAGACACGTCATCGGTCGCGGTCTCTTCCGGTTAGACGCGATCGCGGCCCTTACAACTGATTTTGACTATCGACACTACTGACAGATGCGTGACAATACGGGCATAATAACTGAAACATCCGGGCGTCCGAATATTGACAGTAACATTTACGATCACGTTATATAGAATTTGTTTTCGTTAGATCAACAATTTCGGCATCATTCTTAATAATCGTTATTTTTTAAATATGATCAAATATACATTAATAAAATAAATTTTTTTACACGACTTTTCGGACAAATCTTATTTGGTCTATGCATTTTTCTTCAAGCCATTAAAAAACAAGTGAAGAATTGAGTTTTGTAATTTTCTCACGCTGAGTGACAATGGCTGACAATTAAGTCGTTTCGTTTGTCAACATATGTCTGTTTGCATGCGCGATCATTTGTTGTCCGCGTGCTCAGAGCCACGAACGAGAGCGTTTTTTCTTCGTCGAGTTGAAATAGTCTTTCTTTGGTCCTCAAAGCTGTTAGAAACTTTGTCTCCCACACCGGTTACCTTTAAACTTTTTTCCTGACAAACTGTCAATATTGTTGGAAACATATGAAATTGGGATGTGAAGATCATTGTAAGTTACGCACGAGATATATTTACACGAGAGCTAGTTCATTAGATACATAATTTTTATCGTATATTGTTATAATATGTTAAGTAATGACTTTTGATATTGTTAGGCTATATTAAATCAGATACATTAAATTTAATTTTTCTGATATTTTCTTTTATTAAATTCTATTCTTCCAAGTTTTCTCGATTTTTTCATTAAAAATTTGTTTTGTTCATTTTTTTACTTTAATGTTATTTTGTAATTGTTTTCTTTTTTTTTGTTTGTTTCCTCAAGAGTAAATAAATTAATCTATCATGACTCTACTCTCTAAATTCTTTGGAACGGAATCTCACTCTAAAGAGTGAAAATTTAGCCAATCTTCGAAAAGAGAGGCTTCGTTTTCTATTTTTAAGAATGAGATTTCATTCTTCTCTCTCTCTCAGAGTGAGATTCACTCTAAAAATTTTTGAGAATACTCACTTCAAGTATTGTTCAAGTATCATTATTTGTATCTTGTCCCGCGTGTTAAAAAATCAATCAATTATAGAATATAAACGAGTTAACTAATTATTAATACTTTAACACGAAAAGATCATTTTGCATCGCTTGAGAAATAATTGAGTCGAGTATGTAACAAACTGCAATGGCTATAATAGATATAAATCATTAAGGAACATCTGACTGAATATTTGATAAACTTGCAAATACGGGAGAAAGGGAAAGTATACTGGCACGAAAATATCGGTAGAATTGATCTTTCTGTAATCGTGATTCATACCCGCAGGCGTCATCCGTACACAGTTTCCCATCTGCTTTAGGCGAAACTGCGATCTTGAATCGCAACGCATCTCATTGGAACAGTCAAGCGATGAATCATCATGCCATATAACTGGCATTTCCGCGTATTTTCAATCGCCGCAATTGCTCCCGTATTATCATTTCTTACATCTTAAACTGAATTTCTAAAGAGCTGTCATTGGGTTGTCTCCAACTGATCTCTCCCGAATTACTAACCATATTTAATTCTGTGCCATAAATGAATTAATTGTCACGAGAAGAACATAGGCTGTAATATTACGCAATCGTTTATGCTTTATTTATTTTCAGTTTATGTATTTTAAATAATTAATATAATGATGAAGTTCGATATAATAGATTAATGTCATCCTGTATTTTCTTCTTTATGTTTTCTCGATCGTTCTAATTGATGTAAAAAAAGTATACTCGGTAGATTACATATCATTCCTTTACTTCAAAAGCGATACTTAACTCTAAATGTTTTCTGTAGTTCTCTTTTTTAGTTACAAAAACGATACAACTCAAAATGTATCACTTTGTAAAGATATTACGATCTCTTTGAAAATCTTAAAAGAACGACGCAAGTACTATTTTACGGATAAACTGTGAAGTTAAGATAGTTTACTTTTGATAATTTATACAGTAATCCTTATCTAACTCATTCATAACTCGAAAATCACATTAGTCTTGTCATACTTTTGAAGTAAAGGAACGATAATATATTATACTGCATACAACAAAGTTATATAGACAAAATTTATATCAACAAGGCATGAGATACATACGTTTCAGTTACGAAATGCCGAGGTTGAATTAGATCAGAAAGAAATGTTGAACGTTGGCTGACTACATGTATTAGAAAGTAACGTTAAAGATCGTATACTTAGCTGCGAAATGCATCCCGAAGGGATATAAATTAATGCCGAACATACCTAATAGTTTCCCATGCAGATAAGAAGTTATCCTGGATAACAATTAGACGTCGGTTTATCAATGATCAGAATAATTTTGTAAATAATAATTTGTCACTTTGTGGCAGTATGTTATCCATTTTATTTTTGCTTCATTTTACATTATTTATATACAATTATATATACATATATATGTGTTTGCAAAATTTTCTTCTTTTGTTTTTTTTTTCTTCAATATTTCTATTTACATCAAATATGCGCAAAACAATTTAAACTTCATTCGCGAGTTCATTCGTTAATTAAATTTAAACAATATATGTAGCTATACTTTGTTTCAACATAAATATAACAATAAAAAAACATCCATATTTTTTAGAAAGATTCTAAGTTTAATATTGTATAGCATATATATTTTATTTATTAATAAATTTTGTACATAATATCGATCAATTTCATAAAAAATTAAAAACGAATAAAGAAATGATGGAAAACAACGTATAAGTACAATGAAAAGGTCATCTATTTTCATAGTATATTATGTACATTATCGCAACCATTATTCATATTTTCGAAATCATTAATTACATGTTGTACGTTATTGATATATACGATAATATGCCAGTATTACGGTACGTGATGTAATTCCATGCTTTACTCTATCGCAACATATTGCAATCAACAGTGAAGAATAATAAAAAGTAAAGACTTCACAATTATATTAAACAACTAAATTTAAGTTAAAATAGAAAAATTTGAGAGATTTCATATAAATATCAAAAATAAATTTTTTATTTTTAAGACTTATTTGAAATTTCTAATATAAAATATTTTTCTTTTTCAATCATAATTTCATAACATTTTCATTTTTTTACTTTAAATAATTACTTATAAAACTTAAATTCAACTTTGATTATTTGTTGATTAATTATTTAATACAAATATTTAAGTTAAATTATAAATTTTATCGATTAAACATCTTCTATTTAACGTCGTTGAATTAATTTTTTTATTATTATATTAATTTAATTTTCGCAAAGCTTAACATAACACGTAAGATTTTTAAGTTCTCGTCAATTAACGATTTATTAAAAGTAAAAGTCTGTTTCTTTTTGTAAATTTATATGTAACAATAAATGCTAAAATCATTAATTTACATTTAGTTTGATTATCACGCAACGAACAACTAGCGATGGCTCTTATATAATCCTTTTATATAGAAATTATTTTGAAAAGTAAAAGTGATATATATGAAGACTGAATGAGTTTTTGAATTTTTAAATACAGAGGAAAGTTGCTGAACGCGTACCGATTACCTAAATCTTTTGCAGCATATTACAATGAAATTTATAACAAATTAATTTGTTATCAATAAAAAATTAAATATGTAGTAATAGATGTTTAAAGCTACAATTTCTAATTAATATTTTACTATAATACTTTATAATTTAATTATTATAGTATTTAATTATTTAAGTAAATAAAATTAATTATTAAAGTATTTAATTTAAGTAAAAAGTGAATTTAAGTATTATAAAGTACATAAAAGTTTGTTTTATAAATTAATTTCTTATGTTTCAGATAATCGCAACAACAATCGGAATGACCATCGCAACAATGTTTTACATCAGCAACAGTTACAACAGTGTACGACCATCACAATTAGGGAAAAACGCACGAAAAACCAATTGCAGCGACAGGTACACCCGAAGCCGGAGCCGAAGTTCGAATCGAAATCAGAACCGGAGCCCCAGTTGAATCCACAGCCGGAAGAAGAGCCAACGTCCGAAGAGGTGCTGGAGGAATATGATTCAAAACCGGTGTCGTTGTTTGAGTTCGCGAACCTGGACTTACAATTGGAGAATTTAAATGGAAAGCCGGTATCCAAGTTCGAGCTGAATGAGCCAGACCTCTCACAATTGCACGAGAATCTAAAGCCGATAGAATCGCTGCCGATTTCGGATCTGGAATGCTCGCTGTATGAAGAGAACTGTTCACAAAAAAATGAACAGGTTAATTCGGAAGAAAGACCTTTGGCAGAAAGCATCTTTGATCTAGAAAGAATAAGTCTTCCTCTTTCCGAAAAAACTCTAGATTTTGAACACCGACAATTTAAAACTTATTGCATAAAACGTAACATCAGACTCTTAAAGCGCGATATCTTTATGAATAGAAGATCTCCTTATGCAATAATGAAACCCTTGGTAAAGCGCTACCATGATTTCGAAGAAGTGTATGGTGACACAGTCAATAAGATCCTTGACAAAATTAAACCATCTAATTCTCAATGCAGTAGTTCAGTTCCCTCAAATTCATCAGAGGTAGATAGTCCAGTTCGCACAAAATCTTGCGAGACAAATAATCCAGTTCCCTCAAAATCTTCAGAGGCAGATAGTTCAGTTTCCTCAAGATCTTCTGAGGCAGATAATGCAGTTTATTCAACATCTTCGAAGACAGATAGTCCAGTTCCCTTAAAATTTTCAGAGGCAGATAATTGCCTTGACTATATGTCAGACGGAGATGAAGAATATACAACGCGCTGCAAAAACAGAGCAGCGATAGCAAATAAAGAAGCCGAAGAGGAAAGCTTCAAGTGCTCGTGGAAGGACGTTGAGCCAAATGATTCCTTCGAGACTGATTTCTTTGAAGATGAAGCGGCTGATTCAAGGATTACTGTAAAAGAAGAGCAGCAAGTGAGTTTTCGACACGTGTTCAATGTGTCTCAGCTCGTGATGGCACATGTATCAGTTCCGAAGTCACCATCACTATTGAAACCATTGTTATCAACGGCTTCACATACATCATCAGAAGCTTTATCATCACCACCAGAAGTTTCAACATCATCATTAGATATCTTACCATCACCGACGGCGATCAAAAATCCGTTGAACAACGAGGACATCAATCAACGGATCACTCGGAGGAAGGCCGAAGAGATACAACAGCAAATGGCATACAAGATCAAGAAGAACACCCTCATCGACCATTGCTATCACCAAACGAACGTGCCTGAAACATTTCAAGTATTCAAAGAGGAGTTTGAGACGGAAGAATCCGGTAAGTGAAATGTACATTTTGATGTCTCGAACTTTTCGATAAAATCTCTTTGCGATTTAACGATAAACGATTTTTGGCTTTTTTTATATGGTTCGGATTTAAGACAGCCGTTGATTATATTTAACATCTCAATAGCTAATGTGTTAATTTTGATTAGACAATAGTTGCTTTTAATTTACACACAAGTGAAACTGAGTCTGAAACGAGTTGAGTATTTTGTACTCAGATTAATGACGTCACTACCTGTTTACTTTGGTAAAAAGTTATCACATGTTAAGAAGGTTCTCGCGTTTGATGAAATATAAGACAAGTCTATAATATACATGTAATGCAAAAGTTAATAATATCAATAATATCTAGAAAAAATTTCATTGGCTTTTACCGTACCATTTTGAAGATACCTATTTAATTCTAAATTTATAGAATTTTATATTACAAATTGAAAATATAACCTTATTCTATAGTTATTCTCTTTTAAATTGAGACACTTGCGCATAAGACAGCAATTTAAAAATCGTTATAATCATAAAGTAAACACTTAAGTTTGTTCTCGTAAAGTTTCATTTAAACTGACCGTACAGTTTACAAGAAATTTATATTCTTCAATGAAAAAAGCTAGAATATATGTCAAATGGACGATGCGTATACATCAAATGAGCATCTTACAACTTTTTATTTTGTCATTTTGAAAATATTTAGTAACATAAAATTAACAATAATTATGTATAATGGCATAAGATATTGTTAGTAACTTTTTATTCCATTATTTTAATTATTTTACATATTATTGTGAATAAACTCTCTATTGACTAGGAAATAGTACGAGAACCTCCTTAACACAGGTTCATAACCTCATAACTTTGAAGTGTGTTTACGAAACTCACTAAAGCGTACGGTCTCGATCTTATGCAGATTATAGGTAAAAACTCATTTGAATTTCACTGGTCAGAATGCAAATGGAACGCGCATTCAACTGAGTTATAACGTCACAAGTGAGAATTATCTGAGAATTGGTGTAAATGGAAAGCAACTAATAATATTTTTAACTGATAATAATATGTTTAATATTAACAATAAAGAAATAGTAAATACAAATTTTTATCAAGTTTAATGTTACAGAAGATACTTTATGTATATGTACCTACATCTAGATACATATCTAGATATTTTAAGGTACAAATTTATTTAGTGATAGTAGTGCGCGAATCGTTCCTCGGTAGATCACAAATTCTATTATCTGCACAATACGTAATGTATGCAAATGGATAAATTATTACTTATTTTAATAGGTTTATCTTGCAAACAAATTTTGTGCTATTTTATTCAATTCCGTTTTTCTGCATTTCACACTAAAGTTGTTAAGGGTGAAATATGTGATAAGTTGCAAAAAGATACCGTGCGAAATAAAACGAATATGGCAAAGCGAAATAGAGTATTGTCGAAACATTTTGAGTTTGATATGATATCTCGAACGCGGGGGATCGCGCGCAATCGGTGGCACGGTGCCCTGGAGTGTACTCAGCTGAATTCGGCTACCCGCATGAGTATGCTAATCGCGGGGACTCGGTTACTCGTCATCGCGCTTGTTTGCTCGTACGACGACGACTGAGAAACTCGTTTTCGTGCGCGAGCGCGGGGGTCGACAAACTAACGTCCTCAGGCAGTAATTTATTGCGAGAGAGATCCCGTGAGAATTTCGTGCCGCCGCAGAATTGATTCGTCAGTAGTCGGAAGGAAAGGAAAGGCGACAAAAGAAAAAAAAACAGAAGAAGAGAGATAAGAAGGAAAGGGGCGAGAAGAGGAAACGGACCGGGTGTTTCGAGCGAGACAAGTCCGATAAAGCGAGACACGCGTATCTCGAAGTAACGAACCGGGCGATATGGATTTCGCGGTTAACGTTCGAGTTCTCACATTAACCCGGGAACAGTCACCTGATTTTTACGTCCAGCAGTAAAAAAATAAAACTAAGTCTCGTAGTAGTTTTATTTATTGATCAGGAATCCATCCTATGTTTTATTTCCCTTTATTTTTTTTAGAAAATATTAAATCTATATATACATAAAATTCTCAAATACTAATAAATTGTAGAACAATTAATAATATCAATAAATAAAAGAAGGGCTACGAGCCAGTTATAATATAAAGAATATTTAATATTCGTATAAACGTTTCGACGCCGATCGGATCATTTTTGATGAAATACAAATAACATTACATAAGTTGTTGGAATATTCGGTCAGATTACAATATCCAGTAAAACGTATCGGTTATTTCCGTATTCCCTATTATTTGATATGTGTGTTACATCCATATGTAAAATTAGCATCATTTGATTGGTGTAAAAGTGATCTTATCTTATTTTTTAAAAATCTACAATCTTACCAATATATATTATATAATTCAAAATAATAGACCGACATTACGTTACAGTTCAAATTAAATTATCAAGTATGTATATTTTATAGTAATTTAGTACCAATTAAGTTACATACATATATATATCTTGATTTGTCGTAATGATGTGAGCCAGACGTTGAGAGAAAAACGCAAAATTAACTTATACATAGTAGGCAAAAGTAAGCTATAATACGATATATTAGAGAGAACACATCCTCGACGATGTCAGGCGACGTTATGATAAAAAAGAAACAAGAAAGCAAAGAAAAGACAATAATTTGAAGGGGACAGAGGACAATGTTAAGAAGGGGAAAGAGATTGAATAATATTATGATATGATTCTGACAGAGAATCTATATCATTTTGTTTGTTTATCCCACGTTTTTGTTTTTTTAATCATCTCCGATATTAGTCTCTTATTATAAGAAGCTTCTATGTCTAAAATTTCAACGTTACCCCAGTCAAAATTATGATTCTGGTCAATGTGGTGATCGGTAATCACCGTTGGAGATTTTGACTTCTTATTAATATCGGAGATATACACATATTCGTGTAATCTTGTCTTTAATTGTCCTTTTGTCTGACCTACGTAGGTTTAGAACCATACGAACAGCAATTAAAAACTCCTTCAAGGGTATTTCAGTTTTCATGGATATACAATCCCATCTTTTTGTAATACAATCAGATACCAGTTCTATAGGAACATTCGTAAATAAGGAAACGACATCTAATAAAACCAGCAAGTGATCAGGCTCAATACAAACATACTTTAATTTTTCAATAAGATGAAAACTATTCTTAATATAGCTTGGGGCTTCCAATATGGAATCATTAATAATATTATGCAGATATAACGAAAAATTTATTCTGATTGAGCCATATTAATAATTTATTTAATTCATAATATATAATATGTAATTAACCTTACATTACTCGTTTTTTTTTTAACGTAATTATTCGCGTGGAGTGTTTCTCACATTTTATATGTTGAATCAATTTTCATACTTCTCTTTAGTGATTTACAACTAACAAGTAAAACTGATAATATTCTATATGTTCTTCAAAAAAATTAAATGCAGAACTTTTTAATTGTTAAACAATTTACTAAATATAATAATGTGTATAAACAGCAATCATACATTTAGCGAATTTATTTATTTTTGAAGAGTTATGTAATAATAGTGATTTTTAATTGAAATGTAAAAAACACCCCATGTAATCGTTTATATAAAAAATTAGGTGATTATTCCCGGGTTAAAACCATTCAGCAATACCTGTCACAGTCATATAATCGCGATCATCGACGACTCGCCGTGATTACGCGAACAATGTACATATTACGTAATTTATCTTTTATTCAACTCCCCGGGAGTATTATGTAAATTCCCGTGAAACATTGTTTTGTATAAATGTAGTTTACTTACGCACGTGATTCCCCCGAAGTTTATTTTTGTCCATCCATACAATCTTAAAATCTGTTTAACTTGTAAATGCTATGCTAACCACATCGTATAGATCTCCTATGAATTTTCATGCTGGAGGCGTTTGATGGTATTTCTAGAACTCGCGGGATATTTGCAGTGCATCCTCTTGAGGTGTATTTCAGCGAAACGGTTATCGTCTCGCTAAACAGCCATTAAATATACAACGTGCATTGCGTTTCCGCGCACAACGTCCGCGGTTCTTGGCGGAGGTAGATCTTTTTCTTGTCTCGCTGTATGTACAGCAGTCTCCGATGTGTATAGAACATAAAATATCGAGCGCACTCATACAATTTTCTCAATACACCATGAACAATAAGTCTCATTCGCGCTGCATCGCTCGTTCCTGCGTCAATATTGACGGAGGATGCTGCGAACGCGCGCAGTAAGTGTTACTTAATTATTGGCCTCTCTCGGCACTGTTTCTCTTCTTCAATGACACCAATGATTACTGATTACCATCGACAAAGGAGCGAGTTGATAGATCGTCGTAGCATCGATCTCCGCGACCCAGCTGTTGAAAACCCTCCTCTCGTGTCATGTCTTCGGCGCGCATCGGCAAAATAGTGTCGAGGTCGGGAAAAGTTATCTATTCGTTTGTACATCGTGAATTAAGATCGCAAAGACGCTAGGTCTCTGCGAACTATCACGATTGTTTAGCCTCTTGAAACTTGAACTGAAAAATAGCGAGGGATAATAAAAATATGACGTAATTTAAACTACTTGATGGAAAGATTTGCTTATTCTGATTTTTTATTTTTGAAAATTGATATGACTTATAAAATCTACATGGAAAAGACGGTTTTACTGAAATATCTAAAATTTTAGATACAGATCCGAAAATTTTGTTGAAAATAATTATGTAGGATTAGATATAGAAAATTGTCGCTAGTTGCACAATAAGATGCAAGTTGGGAATTGAAAGCGATCGATTTAAAAGAATACCGTATGATAAAAGTAACAATAGTGTTGACGGCATGAACGGTTTTTGAAATAATTGTACTTGTTTTCCGATAACGTTGGTCAGCGTTATTATCGTTATCACGTGACAATTTTAGTTATATTTCCACAGCTGTTCGCGCACGAGAGGCTTGTAGAACTCGTCGCGCGCATTCCCCTCGT